TGTGTGTGTGTGTGTGTGTGTGTGTAGGGGGGGGGAGTGTAGTTCAGTGAAACCTTGCCTTGTAGACACAGGTCAGTTCTGTCATGACTGCGTTCGGGTGGAGGTTCCAGACTAATATGAACTAGGAAGAAAGGCCGACAGAGCTACTTGTGAAACTTCAGTCAGTGAAAGCCCTGTGTACCCCCGGGCCACCCAGAGTCCATGCGGAGCTGCTGATAATGAACAACAGCTGCACCTGTACCTCACTGTCTCTGTTTCCGTGTGTCTACTCTGGCCTGGGTACTCCCTTGGTTTTTCTCCCATGAACTTCCCTACATTCCTGTGCCTTTTTATGCCCATGACCGGGGTTGCTCAGCTCTTCTGAAAGGGAACCTGGTTATTTGATGGCACATTTTTGCTGGATGATATTTTGGTTGGTTGAGGAAGGGGGAGGAGGAGGAGGATGGGAGATAGCCAGAGATGGGCCTCTACTGCCTTCTGCTTCTACCAGCTGTGGGTGGGAATTCTTTAATGTGGGAGAGACGCCCCGTTGCTGTGCTTTCGGAAGTTGTACCTCTGGGATGGGTCTCCAGCATCCTGGGAAACTGTTAGTTACTGTGAAGGAGACAATCTGGGTGTCCCTGACACCGTCAGTGCTCAGGACCAGGCCAGCGGGGAATCAAAATGAAGCTTTGTTTCAGATTCACATAAGCTCCACTTGACTGATTCTTTGGAGAAAACTTGACAATACTTTCTTTTATGATCTATGAACTACGGGAAAGGTACACGTTATAAACCATGAGTTGATTGAATATTACACTGAATTAGAGACAAGCAAGAGAACCGAGAAGGTGATGATGCGTGGTTGTAGGAAACTTCTGATGGTTCCCTCTCTCTGTTCTATGTCAAGCCCAGAATAATGTTTCATGTCACATATATATTTAAGTGATAATGAAGACGATGAGATAATTGCTGCTTATAAAATACCTTTCTTAATGCCAGGGACGAGAGTCATTCATTGAGGTTGTTATTGGACTGTGGTTAGCTGTTCAGTTCATGTGAACCCCAGATGCCACAGAAGATTTTTCTTGTCTGGAATTTTCATGGAAGCAATTTGCCAGACCTTTGATCTGATGAGCCGGATGTTTTATCTGCTCACCTAGAGTTTGCCGGCCTTCAGGTTGGCAGCTGATGGCAAACCACTGTGCCCATTGTTACCTTGTGTTCTATTGTTTTCTGGAAATTTTCACATAACACCACCCCATTCCAACTCATCGGATCCCTGTTTTGGGTTTCCAAGACCAGAAATCTTTATGGGAACAGATAGCCTCATCTTTCTCTCATGAAGCGGCTGGCAGCTTGAACTACTGGCTAAGTGGTCAGCAATCCCACATCCTGATGGCCCAGTGGTTAAAGTGTTAGACCGCTAAGTGCCAGGTTGGCTCCTCCAGCCTACCGGTTGTGCCCTGGAAGAAAGACGCGCCAGGGTGCTTCCGTAGAGATGACAACGTCGGCAACCCCATGGGCCCAGCCTGCGCTCTCCTGTAGGGTCTCTGTGGGTTGGAATCACACTTGATGTTAACAAGGTTCAGCTTGGGTTTTATAACCCTGATCAGTCAAAATGATGGAATTGTACTGGTATCAGAATCTCAGAGACCAAAGGGTCTTACTTGTTCAGCAGAAAACTGCTGGAAATTACCAACTGAACCCCTGAGAGCTGCACCCGGTGACAAAAAGACCTGCCCCTGCAGAGCAATCCTGAGAGACATTGTCCGACAGGAAGTGCTGCGACGGGATGGGTTTCACGCACTGACATGACCTCTCCACCCAGCGACTCTGCTTCTGACCCTTTACATCAGCGGTCCTCAACCTGTGGGTTGTGACCTCATTGGGGGTCAAACGACCCTTTCACAGGGGTTGCCCGATTCGTAAAAGTAGCAAAATGACAGTGATGAAGTAGCAATGAAAATGATTTTATAGTTCCACAACATGAGGAACGGTATTTAAGGGTCGCGGCATTAGGAAGGTTGAGAACCACTGCTTTAGATGTTTCTAATGCATTTCTTAATCATTCCTGTTTCAGGAAGAGGAGGGGCCTTCTAAAAGTTCGTGAAAAAATCGAATGAAAAGATCAAGAAAAAGTCCAATATTGAAGCCCCTCATGTATACTGTCAGGAAGGCATAACCACACGAATTAGGGCTTTTTGTTCTCGTGCGCAGCAAAAATGCAAAGCGTACTTTGCAGCTTAGGAAAGAAAAAGGGAAAAAAAGCCACAGGCTTTAAAAAATGCTCTGTCCTTGTTCTTCCGAACACTTGTCTCGTGTGCAGATCTTCTGGGACGCTTTAATAGGAAAAACCAAAACCGTTCACGTATTTGCCAGTTATATTTGAAGTTCTTGCTGCTGAAGTAACGCCGTCCCTCCTTTTCCTTTTGCAGAGCGGAAAGCCGCCCATCAGTGACATGTTCACAGACCTCAAAGATGGAAGGAAGCTCTTGGATCTTCTCGAAGGCCTCACGGGAGCTTCCCTGGTGAGACGAGCCCTCTTTCAGAACTTGGTTAACAGACCGTTACTGGCCATTGCCCACCGAGGCCCCATGGGGGTCCTCGAGAGGGGAAAGCCGGAAGAGGAAAATGGAAAGGTGTATTTTAACCGATTGTTTGATAGAGCAGTATGGAGGCTGTCCTGATGCTCTGTCAGAAGCCCTGGTGGCATAGTGCGGTAGGACTTGGGCTGCCAAGTTCAAAGTCAGCAGTTCGAATACACCAGCCTGTCTGCGGGAGTAAGACGTGACTTGTGCAAAGAGTTACAGTCTCAGAACCCCCCAGGGGCAGTTCCAGCCCGTCCTGGAGGGTCATTGTGAGTTGGAATTGGCCGGACGATGGTGAGTTTGGAGTGGAAGGCTCTGGTTTTATAAAAGACACACTCACCTGAAATCTTCGTTTCGCTGAGGCAGTCCAGGTAGAAAAATGGATATGTAAAGGGGCCGTGAAGTTTTGCATGCTATAGAGTATAGACATCAACACACTTAAGCATTCCTTAACAATGTTTGAAAGGTTGGGTAAAACCATGCCTTGCCCATCAAGTCCTGGCGCTGGATTTGATGAAGAAACGAGCACAAATACCGAAAACCCGAGTAAAATAGCTGCCCTGGTTCCTGGCACAGTGGGGCGCTGAACTCGGAGGTTGCTGCCTGGTAGGAGAGCATCCACCCAGTGTCACTGTTTACCAGCTGTATGAGGGGAGACCGACTGATTTTTGAACCTTACTTTCCAGCCGAAGGAACGAGGCTCCACGAGGGTGCATGCGCTGAACAACGTCAACAGAGTGCTGCAGGTTCTGCATCAGAACAATGTACGTGGGGACGTGAGGGACCTTCGGGGGTTGGCTGTGTCGTGGACAGTACTTGCCCTGACGTGAGCCGCTTGCTCTGGGCGCTGGGCAGCCGGGGACATCGGGAAGCCTTTCTCTCCCATCTCGAACCTCTAGGATGAGTGAAGGAAGGAGTGCTTTGTCGGAGTATGGCGAGGTGCTTTTTCGGATTAGCTTGTTGCTCCACTGTGAAATTGATAAGACTTTCTGATGATGTTTTGCCTCATTCTCTTGTCATCTGTGTGTATCGCCGGCTAGGCCTGCTTAAATGCAAACCCGGTCTTCTGTGGAAAGAGTGTCTTAAACATTGTATTTTTCCGTTCTCACAGGTGGATTTAGTGAATATAGGCGGCACTGACATCGTCGATGGTAATCACAAGCTGACTTTGGGACTGCTTTGGAGTATCATTTTACACTGGCAGGTGGGGACTTTCGGAGTCATTTTTTCATAGACATGGAAAATCTGTCATTTGGGGTGGACAGGGCTGACAGCGTTCTATTGTCCTGGCATAGGAATAATGTATCTACTTTACAATCTGTGCATATTATATCTTAAATTATTGATGTGATTTTAGACATTTTCCAAAGTGACCAGGATGTTCAACGGATTCCTTGGTAGCCTTTCTCCAGGTTCCCCAGGGGCTGCTCACAGTTCTCTCAGTTTTCTGTGCTCTCTCCCTGTGTCCTCCTTTCCCTTCTTGCTTAAGCAGCATGTAGTTCCTAAAACGAAGAAATTCTGAAAACCAGGAATTTACCTGTAGAGCCACAATAAGATATTAATACAATATACACTATATATTCTAATGTATATCCTCTAATATTAGATAAAGTGATAACTGCTATGTTATAGAATGAAGACATGTACTATAAAGCTAGAACAAGGAGGAAACACCATGGAAAGGATATAATTAGGAAATCTACAGGTATGATGGCGACATTGTCCATTACCCCATAGTACCATTTCTAGCATAAGAAAACCCACGGCCATGCTTTGTGTCATTGTGACACTTCTCTTTGGTCCTCTTTATCTGGAGCAGTTTGAGAATCTCTTTTGGTCTTTCGTGATACTGATAGTTTTGAAGAGACCAGTTCGCTAAAGGCCAGTGTTTTGGAACCCATGGGGTGAGTTTGGCTGGTGTTTCCTTCTGATTAGGTTCAGGCTATTTGTTGTTGGCAGGGATCCTGCAGAAGTGACGCTCCATCCTCCCAAGTGCATCATGCCGGCTGGCACATTGGTCCATTGGTTCTATTTCTGACAGTGTTAACACTTATCATTTGGTTAAAGTAGTACCATCTGGGTTCGTCACTGCCGAGTGACTACCGCTCCTTTTAAGCACTACCTTGAAGGGACATACTTTGTGAATGCATACATATGCAGCAAGTTACCACACTTTCACCCATTACTGTTAGTGTCCATTCATAATTCTCCCTTGGATGCCATGATGTCCCTGCTAAGTAGGGGTTTTCTAATGCCATCATAAGTTCTATATTTACTGTTTGACTTTCTACTTATGAGGAAGGCTTTCTTCTGTGTCTTGCTGATCTGTCTCTATTTATAATCTCAGTAGATCATAATCTTTTACTATCATTACTTATTTTGATGCCCAAATTATCCTAGATTTGGCCCTTTTACATTGGCTCCTATGTGTTCTTTCTAGATGATAACTATCATTGCCACCTGAAAAGGTACTTTATTCTGTGAGTTTGTTGTTAGGCAAAATTGCCTGGTTTTCCTAATTTTTGTAGAAGGCAAAGATTGGGGTCGATTCCTCCTTAAAGGTCTTTTAAAACCAACCTCGCTGCTTTTGAGTTGCTTCTGACTCATAGCTTCATGACTCATACCTGATGTTAAATGAGGGAGAAATTTAACACCTGGACCGAGGAGCACTGCTCCCTCGAGTTCCCGAGGCTGTACATCTTTAAGGGAGCCTGCTGCCTCATCTTTCATCCACAGATTGGCGGGTGAGTTTGAATCGTCAACCTTGTAGTTAGCAGCCCAATGCTTAACCGACTCTACTACCAGGGATCCTTTAGAGGCCTAGCAAATGTATAGTACTGAAATACTGCCCTTTTGTGATGATGAAAGTAATGCTTATGAGAACTAAACATAGTGCAAATACAAATATTGTTTGCATGTAGTACAAAAGATGCATACAATCACTTCTAAATCCTAGTGCCTCAAAATAATCATGAGTAAAAGAAATTGCCTTTCCAGTTTTTAAGAGGCATTACAGGCACAGACTCAAACATACGAACAATTGTGAGGTGGGCACAGGGCTGAAGAGTGCACAGGGCTGAAGAGGTCACTATGAATCGCAGCCAACTGGATGGCACATCAGAACAACAATACAAGAAAAATGAGTATCAATTATCTGATCCACAATGGTTTATTAAATGAATGTATTTTTTAATGTAACAAATGAATTCAAGTAACTTTATTGAGTGACCAGGCAGACGTGGTTTCTCTCTAACAGGTAAAAGATGTCATGAAGGATATCATGTCAGATCTGCAGCAGACAAACAGCGAGAAGATCCTACTGAGCTGGGTGCGCCAGTCCACCAGGCCATATGGCCAGGTCAACGTGCTCAACTTCACCACGAGCTGGACAGACGGACTTGCCTTTAATGCCCTGCTCCACCGACATAAGTGAGCCTTTTCATTCGGCATAGGTTGTCCTGGTCTGTGGCTCCTGTCTGCCCCTCCTCATCCTACCTCCTCACTAAAGTCCCTTCTGGTCACTGTCACCCCATGCTTGCAAAAGCCCTACCACAGTAGTAGTTCAAGTTCAAATTTCCAAGAACCTTAGCTTTCCTATTTGTGACTTACTTTCAAGTAGCATGTCTTTGACACGGCTTTGGATTTTAACCTAAAAGACAAACCTATTCTTTAACACACACGCGGTCTACATAGCCAACTGTATAAATTATGCAAATGGCCACTGTTTCTCCACATGCATTAGCTTCATTTTATTTTCTTTGCTCGGTGACATCAGACCCGATCTCTTCAGCTGGGATAGAGTCGTCCAGATGTCCCCCATTGAGAGACTTGAACATGCCTTCAACAAGGCTCAGACTTACCTGGGAATTGAAAAGCTATTAGATCCTGAAGGTATTGCTTAATATTTAATGGCAACTTGTTTTTGCTGTATAAATTTTAGCGCTTGAAAAGTGGTGTTTCAGTCTTTTGCTTTTCGTTTTCAGAATGGGTTATGAGAATTGAGACGTGTGTTTTCTTTGCAGTATGTGTGAAAGCCATTTCATTGTAGACAAAGTTAATATCTTTTACACTTAGAAATTTAGAGGAAAATTTAGGGGAGAAATTTTATCAAGTATTGGAAAATAGTTATTCTCCATTAGAGTAAGATTCAAAGTTTTAGAAACCACAGTTACTTAGATAAACAATTTCAGTTTTTGGTTTATTTCATTAAATTTAATTTTTGCTTGAGTATCTTATGTACTAAACGCTCGTTACAAATGTTTCAGGGTTGAATAACAGACTTATTTTCATGCTTTGAGTAAAGTCTGTCATTATCTTAAATGGTAACATATGGTAATTTTTCTTCGAGCATTTTGTGTTAACTTTTAGGAAATATTTTTAAGAAATGGGATTCTGGACAAAAATACTCCTTTGTGCCTATTTCCTATATTATTACATGAAATAGAAATTTACTGAGCCACAGTACTGCAAAGACTCTTTATTGCATATTGTTTATGGGTACTTAGAAGAGTTATTTTATATCTAATATTGAGCAATTCACATATCTTGGACATCTAATTTGCGCTGGTTTTTCTTTTCTTCCACTTTTAGATGTTGCTGTTCAGCTCCCTGACAAGAAATCCATAATTATGTATTTGACATCTTTGTTCGAGGTGCTGCCTCAGCAAGTTACTATAGATGATATCCGTGAAGTGGAAACGCTTCCAAGGAAATATAAGAAAGAATGCGAAGAAGAAATTAGTGTCCAGGTAGGTTTTCATGCATCTCTATGAAAACCTTTGACTCGCCCAATTTATGTTTGTGTTCTTCTAGGTTCTAGTTAATTCTGAGCTAAAGTCCCGTCTGGTCGGTTTTCACGTCCAATGAGAACATCTTGGCTATTCGGCTTGCTTTAGTGCACCGTTAGCCGGTTGGTGCATCCGTTAGCATGCTTTCATGTGGAGTGATGCCACTCGACTGACTTTATTAAGAAGGAAATTGGACGGTTTCATACAGAAACAAAAATGGAGTCAGTCGGCGTCTGACGCTGTTGGTCTTTCTTCAGTTGACCACGAGATCCAGACAGGGCGGTGTCAGGGCTCTCCATCGGGCAGCTTGATGCTCGGTGATTTTAGGAACGCTATTTCAGAGTGATCAATACTTCCCTCAGTTTTGTATACTCTCCTACAGTGAAACATCCAGAGAGACAGATCAAAGCAGAGGCTTCCCAGCAGTCAGGGTCTCTGACGGTGACAGTAGATGGCCCAGAGCTAGCTCTGTCCCTTGTGGAGTGTAAGAGCAAGGATGACCAGGAGAATGGCTGTGGGAGAAAAGATCCCAGCATTGTTAGACAATGCCAGTGCATCTAGACATGTGAGTTTCAAAGACGATTAGCAATACACAAATACTAACTATTCCCAGCGAAGACATTGAACACCATATTAGAATAAAACACAATGAATGAACAACGTTGACCTAAAATATATGGTCCTTCCTATATGTTCCTCTTTGTCTAGAATGGAGTCAGGACTTCATGGCTGACAGTCTAGGTATTAGGTCTTGATGACAAGAGCTGCTAGCTGACCTTTAGCTTTCCTTCCTTCTCAGAATCTTGGACTGCCCTCAGTGTACACAGTTTATAATTGTATGAAAATGTCGGAACTGGGGTTGGAGGTTTACGTGTGGTACACTGGCAATGCTCAGACGTAACTTGTCTTTTTATTACCATGAGCCCTCTCCTGTCCAGTTTGAGGTAAGCCCCCAGCATGGGGCTCTCATTGAAATCTATGCAATAATAGCTCCTTGAGTAGACACCCTTCAGGATGCAGCCTTCTCCGTCTGGGACTGGATCTTTATGTTTGATTAGTGTTCTAGGAGCCTGGGTGGCACAGTGGTTAACACTTTTGACGGCTTTCGCAATGTCACTGGTTTGCACCTGCCAGCCTCTCATTAGAACGCCGGAGCAGTCTGCTCCCATCAAGGTTTTACAGCTTTGGGAACCTTAGCGAGCAGAGCCTGTGGGATCTGATAGGGGTGCTGTGCGTCTGACTGAACTCGACAGCCGTGCTCCGTGTTTTGTTTGTTGGTGCTGTTGATATTTGTTCTGGCATCGTGGCTAGACACGCATCCTTCTAGTTCAAAGCACACCCTCAAATATGCCCCAAGCCCAAGCTATATACTTTCCGATGCTGCGCTTGGATGAAGCAGGTAGATGGGGAGGGGGGAGTAAGTTGGTTGAGGCACAGGTGAGAAATTGGTTTTCCAATCCTTCCTTTAGGTGAACTTGACATTCTGTCTCTTATTCTTGGAGTGGTGGTGGTGCTGGTGTGCTGACAAGGCAAGTAGGACGCAGGGCAGCCCTAACGCAGAGTGGAACTGCTCCACGCGGTCCCTCGGCTTTCACTGTCATGGGTGCTGCTGGCCTGGTCTTTTCTGTTGGGAATTTGAACAGCTGACCTGTGGATTAGCAGCCCAGCCCTCACCCATTGCCCTCTCAGCCAGTGGTGTGCTGATACAGAAATGCTCCAAAAACCAAATCTAATTTAAAAATTCCCAAGTCTGATTTTCATTGTTTTTATATTTCTTGGATAATCTCACCAGGGCCAATTTTAGGCTATCAAAGATTGTGGATTACAACATTCCCAAACATTTAACTTGGGATTAGGATAAGGTGACCAGGCATCCCGCTTTTGGCGGGACAGTCCTGATTTTTAACAATTTTTCCCGCGTCCCGCGGCATTTTAAAACAATCCTGATTTTTGGAAAGAATGCCCGGCAAGCTAAGGTATACGGTTTTCGGCTGCCATGTGGCTATTTCGCCAGGATATGAGTTTTATCAATGGTGTCCTGCTTTACAAGATGTTAAAATCTGGTCACCTTAGATTAGGAGCATGTCATTGGGTGGGCAAAGCAGGAGAGTTTAACTGGGCCCTTCACCAGCGCCTATAACCCGGCCCTTAATTCTTCACCATATCCTTCTGAGAATGATAGGGAGAGTTTTGAGTTTTAAGACTGTACTTTTCCCACCTATCCTGTGTCGTGTACAACTACGCTCTTTCATAGGTTCCCCTGGTATCACTAGTCAGTCTCCAAATACTTGGCTGGTGGCAGGATCAGCAAGTCTCGGCCACTCAAGCTCTGCAATCATGAAGTCACTTATTCGACGTGATGTTTCCGCCACGAACGTGTAGTTGCTGTACTGGCTTAAGAGGAACACGTCCTTTTGTTTCGCTATCACCTTCCCCGGCCTTTGTTTCATCTGAAACAGAAGATGCACCTGGATGTTAAAAATCCCGGGAAAGATATGGTGGAAAGCGTGGACTTGGGAATTCCGTGTCTGCGCTTTCCCTCTGTTCCTTGGGCTGGCTAGTTAGCTTCTGGGCTGAGGCGCTGTTGTGTCGGTTCAGTTGGCAGCTGAGTGCTGAACCATTTGTGCCCTTAAAGCCAATCCTGTTACACTCTCCATCTCAGCGATAACAGGCCTTAGAGAAAAAGAAGACACTCACTGAAGGAAAGTAGAGAGATGGGGTCTCTGTGTGAACCTTTTTAGTCCTTTTTAGGATGCTTTTTAGTGATTTTGCCAAGCGAGAGAGGCTGAGCCTCTGATCCTTGCCTGGAGAGGTGCCACTTGTACCATCCTGCCTGGTGATGCACCATTTGGCTAGCGCAGGGAGCCATCTGGGTTCGGATTTTAGAATCACTTCTTTGTTTTTGTTATAATCTCATAAAGATGGGATCTCTTACTTGTGGGTTATGACATTCTCTCTTCAAACAAGCCAACGGAAAATGACAAAGCAGGGCAGGGGACTTCATTTGTCTTTCAGGCTGTGCTAAAAATCCCCAAACCAAACATGTGCTTGCTTAAGGGTTCAGGGTGGCATACTGAGAGTGAGAGGGACCATTTGCCGTTGGATTAAGAGCAGGTGTATTAGCATTAGCCTCTTCATTGCGTGTGCTTTCATTAGTGCCTTAGAGTTTGAATCCACTTAATTGAAGACATAAAATGTGATTCAGTTTTAATCATCTGTTCTTTTGACACAACTTGCCATCTCTGGCTCTCCAGTGAACCCTAATCGCCGGCGTGCCTGTCTACAAGCATCTGCTGTAAGACATTCGATAGTCAGCTGATAATTCCTGCACTTCGCTGTACATAGCATTGAATCCTAAGTTCTTTCATCTGCTTCTTCTAATACCGTATGAACATTTGCATCTAGAAAAATGCCTTTCCCCCTTCCCCTCGGAGATGCTATTGCCTTACTGAGTCCCTGTTGGCCGGTCCCTAACTCTCCATGTCCTCAGCTAGCTTGATTTATATTATAGGGCCTTGGGCTCCATCAGTTCCCTTAATTATCCGGCCTTTCAACCGTGTGCTCCCGGATTCATTTCTCCAGGTTAGAAAGTCCACTTGAGCCTTCCTCTGGTTGCTTTTCGCATGTTTTCTTCTGGTTCCAGCTTTCATACTCATCAAAGGCTGCATCTTCTCTTCTAATGTACGAGCTTCTGCCCGTGAGCCTTTTAGGCGATTATACCAAAGCATCGTGGGCTTTCCCGTTTTCGCCAAGGTTCTTTTACAGGTGGACTTCTCTCTGAACTGCTCCTCCCCCTGTGTGACTGTGGTTGAATATGGGAGTCGGGAGTTCCGAAGAGGGTTTTTCTATGATGAACAAATTGGCAGCTGCTATGGAGGTAATAGAGGAGCCCTTGTGGTTGTGGTTGAGTGATTTCTAGTTGGGCTGTGATCTGCAAGATCAGAAGTTCAAACCACCAGCTGCTGCCTAGGAGAAAGATGGGGCTTTCTACTCCCGTAAAGAATTCCAGTCTCAGCAACCCATGGGGTACTTCTGCCCTGTCCACAGGGTCACTGTGGGTTGGCATTGACTCGATGGCAGTGAGAGAGTCTATGAAGGTGATGGAGGCATAGTGGATTATATGTGGGGCTGCTAACCACAAAGAAGGCACTTTGAAACCACCATTCTCTTCATGAGAGAAAGACAAAGCTTTCTACGCCCATAAAGAGCTACAGTCTCGGAAACCCACAGGGCAAGTTACCTTCCAGCCGATAGAGTCACAGTGAGTTGGAATTGACTCAATGTCAATGAGTTTGAATTTTTTTGAAGCAAGATGCAAACCAGGCGGCTACGATGCTGCTGAAGCCCCGGAGTGGAGAGGAGTGGTCAGCCAGAGGGATGGGGCTTAGCTGAGGTTCAGTGAGGAAGAAGGGAGAGTGCTTGCTCAGACCGTTTCCGTTCGTGTCTGTGGCCCTCCCATACTTAGTCATAGTAACGCACCAGTGTCCCAGCTTGTGCATAAATGATATAGGCACCTTCAAGGTGATACTCGAAAGTGGGTTTCTCAGCGGGTAGCTTATTGGTGACTTTGGAAAATGGAAAGGCTTTTTCATCTGAGGGATAGGGATAGACAGTAGATCGGAGTAAGAGGAAGTGTTAACACACAGGAACGTGAGCATTGAAAAACACACCTCTATGCTTTCTGTGTGCCTGGCATGCCCTAGTTAAGCTTTGTGGTTGAGGCAGTAGGGGCAGTGTGTAGGAATATTTTTCAGGAATTTTGCTCTGAAAGTGAGAGGTGGCTGATTTGGTTATGAGATTCCAAAAGGCGAAGTAAAATATTTCAATTGAGTAGAAATAACTTGAGATGAATTTATTCTTAGGGGCTTTTAAAAACGGACCAGCAAGTTAAACTCTGGGGCAGTTGCCTCATGAGCATGCCATCAGCCCCCCTGCTTGTTAGGGTGGCTGCATTTGAGCGTCTAAAATGCCCAAAGGCCTCACTTCCGTCTCTGCATCTTTACGGTGCATCCATCCATCCAGGTCCAGTGTGTCCAGACCCACCAACTTGCTTTCCTTACCATCTTCATCCCCGGTGACCTTTTGGTCAGAACCTTGCATGAACCAGTTGTAACGTTGCTAGTAGCTGTTTTGTTTTTATTCAGAAGTGAACCACGTGGGCTGCTTTTTCTTTACAACTCTCTAAAAACCTCCTTGTGTGAACAATCTGTGAGGTCACCCTTGGTGCCTTTGTACTTTTTGCTGTCTGTTGCTGGTGTGCGCCGACATGGAGCCAGACTCTGACTTATGTCTTATGTGAGCCCACACTCAAAGGAGTGACATCTGGCCAGTCCTGCCCCGTCTCCAAGATCCGTGGCATATCAGAGGGGCTTCATCCAGAGCGTTTTCAGTGACAGATTTTCCAAAGTAGTTGGCCAAGCATTTTTGTCTTAGTCTCCCTTTGTGTGGAAGTTCCACTGAAACCAGGACAGTTATCAGAGCAACGTGCGTGCTGGCGTCCACTGACATCAAGGTAGTGGCTGTGCAGAAGGGCCATTGTCAGGGAGCGGAATCCAAGTCTCCTGGCACGGAAGGCTACTGTTGGGCCACCAGTGCCCTTGCAGCCCTAGCACAGCCCTGGTAGCAAAACAAATTACGTGTTTGGCTGCTAAGTGTTTACACCCACCCAGCATCTCCGCCGGAGGAAGGGCAGTCTGCTCTCCTACAGGTTGCAGCCTGGGAAACCCGAGGGGACGGTTCTACTCTGTTAAGAGCACAGAACTGCTGAGCATCTAAATAGACTCGACATTCCCCCACAGCACTTCACTGCTTGCCCTGCCGACCCCTGTAAAGGCGAGTGACCTCCGGGACTTCCTCAGGGTTCTGCACACGGCGTGTCTGTGTCGAACACTTTCCTCGTCCGCAGGAAGACTCTTGAGTTTGTCTTGTCTTTGTGTCTGTAGAGCGCAGCGCCAGAGGAGGAGCGGGCCAGTCCCCCAGCGGACACCCCCAGCACGGTCACCGAGGGGGACATGGACCTGGACAGCTATCAGATAACCCTGGAGGAAGTGCTGACCTGGCTTCTCTCTGCTGAGGACACCTTCCTGGAACAGGGTGACATTTCTGATGACGTTGAAGAAGTCAAGGACCAGTTTGCCACCCATGAAGTAAATATCTGTGCTTCTGAGCCCAGTCCTCTCCTGGGGCCCCCTGTGCCTGCCCGAATGCAGGGGCTGCCCCTGCTGTTTGTGGTTTGCTGGGCGCTGCTCCCAGGAAGGCCCACGCATACTTTAGAACTTGGGACCTTTCAGTAGAGCTTGCCGTTTAAATAGGTGAACCGTGAGTGGGGAACTAGATTTAGGGTTCTAACCTTGACTTGACGGGTGTATTTTGTGTAGCCACGGGAAAAAAATCAACACAGCCCCCCTGAGGAGTGTGCTGTTACCCCTGAGATGCCTAATGATTAAATACACTAGATCTCCAGGGTTGGAGGGTTAATCAAGATGCGATTAGTTTTACTTACTGTATCATTTGGCAAATGCCGGGTGTTCCCATACGATTTTATATAATTAAAATTCTTTGTTTTATTGAGGATGGTTTTTGTTATAGGATAGTGAGTTTAACGGCATGGGATTTTGTTTTCACTAGGCAGCGTTTTTCACAGGCTTTATTTGTGGTTCTGTCTTAAAAATAATAGAAAATTGGAATACTTTCAAAGTAGTTCCTCTTGTTTGAGCATGATGTTTTGTTTTGTTCTTTGACTTTAGCGTGTTTACTCGTTATGTCCATGCACATGATCTGTTAGGAGCGTAATCAGCATCACTTAAAAATAGCTGGTTGGGTTAGATTAGATGTTCTCCTTCTAGATCTCTTCCCATTTTCACTGAATTAAAGAGCTCACTCCACTGCCGTCGCGTCCCTTTTGACTCATATTGACACTGTACAGGGCTTCAAGGCTTTGTAAATCACTGTGGTGGCAGACAGCCTCATCTTTCTCCCAGAGTGTGGCTGGTGGGTTTGAACCCCTGCCCTTGTGGTTAACAGTCCAGTGCTTCCTTGACAGTGCTACAGGCGGCCCAGGTGGTGCTGTTATGTAAGTGTTGGACTGCTTACCATCAGCCCTTCAGGTCAGAAGTGAGGCCATCCGCTACAGTAAAGGGTTCTAGCCTTAGAAACCATACCTAGGGTTTATATGAGTTGAAATCTACTCTGGCAGGTAGATTTTTATTCTTTGAGTGCTTCTTTCCTGTTTTCAGATCTTGAAACACTTAGATTCTCTTTGCTCCCTACTAGGCCACCTTTCTGCAGCATTGCTATTCATTTCTTTACTTTTGATTTATAAAGATTTCTTTTGGGGGGACGCGAAGAGCAACTCACAAACCCTGACCACACCCCCTTCTCAGGCGTTCATGATGGAGCTGACGGCACACCAGAGCAGTGTGGGGAGCGTCCTGCAGGCCGGAAACCAGCTGATCACACAAGGAACTCTGACAGATGAAGAGGAGTTTGAGATTCAGGAGCAAATGACCCTGCTGAACGCCAGATGGGAGTCGCTCAGAGTGGATAGTATGGAAAGGCAGTCCCGGTGAGTGGCGAGCAGAGCTCTGAGCACATTACACAGCGGTGCTTGCGCACAAGTCCTGTGTCTGTGGGAACGAGTGTCCCCATCTTTTACTTCATGAAAGTGGGGCTCTCTTCTTAGGCTCATGCTGTTGGAGATTTTGTGTGACCTTTTGTTTCCCCTTTGGTGTGTGAACTAAACCAAGAGGTGAAAGCTGGAATACAGAAACTAGCCCAGAGGGATCAGGCATATTATATGTATGGTTGCATCTGTTGACAGTTTTAAAATGGGCTAACTGTGAACTTGATATGACAATGGGACTATCTAGTAGAATTGGCCTCTAAGTCCTTGATAGCACTCCGGAAGCAGAGTCCCCCCTTGGCATCCCTGTTATGTGTACGAAGGAGCCAACTGCATTCCTTTGTGATTTCCACCTATTTTCTATCAGGAATTCCTGATTGGAGAAACAATGATTCTGATACGAATAAAGGGTGCTGTGCATTTGTGTTCTTTGGCTGACTAACTGGTTCCAATTAGGAAGAGAGAAACATGTTTTTCCTGGTTTCTGTACTAAAAGACTATATGCAACTTAAAATGGGCACGCATGAGTGTATTCCCTCACCCCATTGTTTTGGTGCCTGGGTCCTGGATTTGTCTTGGAAAAGGCACGCCGGCAGGTGGATTAATGTTGTCTTCTTCTGCGGACAGGCTGCATGATGTGCTGATGGAACTGCAGAAGAAGCAGCTGCAGCAGCTCTCTGCCTGGTTAACGCTCACAGAGGAACGCATTCAGAAGATGGAAACCTGCCCCCTGGACGATGACTTACAATCTGTGCAGAAGCTGCTAGAAGAGCACAAAGTGAGTATGCCTCCTGTTTCTCGTAGCCCTTCCCAGATAGGAGAAGGCAGCACGTAGCTGGGGACGGACTCTATCATGACTGTGGAGGGAGAACGATCCTTCAGCCTCCTCCGGTGCTCAGCAGCGTCTCAGGGGGAGTTCATGGCGATGTGCCGTTTCCAAGTCTGGGATAAAAGTATAGGTGAGCTTTTTTATGGCTGCAGGCAATTACCAAGATACACAGCTTTCATAGATTCTCCAGGGTGTTCACGGACCTGTACTTCACTGTTTGCGAACCCTGGAGTGTTGACATCTATGAGGTATGTGAGTGAAGGCACAAACCTTGAGTTTGGTGCTGTCAAGGGGAGACCTGGCAGTGGAGGGGTGTGGGTTGGCTTGCTAACTGCAACCCCAGCCACGCCACGGGAGCAAGACGGGGCTTTCTACTGCCATCAAGAGCTACAGTCTTAGAAACTCACAGCGGCCGTTCTGCACTGTCCTGTGGGGTCACTATGAGTTGACATCAACTGATGGCAGGACTTAGGTCTCTCTCTCTCTCTACTTATTGTTAAGTTCTGTCAAGAAGGCAATTGCTTCTCTACATTAGAAAAGAGTCAGGCACTAATTCGGAAACTACAATTTGATGGACAATTCAATTTGATGACTAGGTTAGAAAGTAGCTTTCTGTGTTAAAAGTATGTAATAGTCAAGTATTTTCTCAGTAAATTGAAGAATTTCAATGAAAGAGCTAGATCAGCAATAATGAGCATGTTGTTGTTGTTGTCATCAGTTGCCGGTCAGTCAGTGCTGGCTCACAGGGCCTCCCGAACATCAGCGTAGCAAGGATCCGCAGGAAGTGGTCACTAGGCCTGTCTTCTCGTGTGCCTCTGGGTGTGTTTGAACCTCCAACTTGGGGCTATTAGTCAAGGGATGAACTGTTTGTGCCACCCAGGGACTCCTAAAGATAGCTGTAGGGACACATTAAGCATAATTTGAGAAGTATTTGATAGCACGATTGATGATCTCTAGATCAATTTCTCTCTCTCTGTTTCTCCCTCACTTGACCTTCCCATGACTGAGAATGGAAGGTATCCGTTTATCCTTAATTGCCTTTCCGTGTAGCCAATCAGAATAACCTTTGGCTATCATATCACACTCTACTTATTTTTTTTTCTGTCTCAGTAATACCATCTGCACAAGACAAAATGGTCTCTGACACTATGTATCAAAAATCTGGACTTTCTTGATTTGCTAATTCCGTCCTTTTACCCTAATTTCTAGCATAGATGCCTGATTCTTTTATGCTATGCAAATAAGTGCATATCTTTCTCAGTACCATCGAGTCAGTGCAACCCAGAGTGACCCCACAGGGCAGGGTAGAACTGCCTCCCTGAGTTTCTGAGACTAACTGTTTACGGGAGTAGAAAGCCCCTTCTTGCTCCCGCAGAGTGGCTGGTGGTTTAGAACTGCTGACCGTGCAGATCGCAGCCCAATGCATAACCACTACACCATCAGGATATATATAAATGAGACTTTGGAATAATAAGTGAACACACCCCAGTTGCAATATGTTATGACATTTTATTTCCAAAGTGCTTTGGTTCATAATGAAATGTAACGATGTGTACCTCCCTTGTTCCATTAGTAGAACATTTAGGGCAGTGATTGGAAATTTAAATACAATGCCTCATTAAGTATCCTTAATTACTATTGACAACAGAGTGGACTTTAAATAGGTGGATCTGAAAGAGTGGAAATAATGGATTCTCTTAATCTTTCCTTAGAGTTTGCAAAATGATCTTGAGACTGAACAGGTGAAGGTGAATTCATTAACTCACATGGTGGTAATTGTTGATGAAAACAGTGGCGAGAGTGCTACAGCTGTTCTGGAAGATCAGTTGCAGGTAAGAGCCCGTGTAATCCAGAAGGACCTGTCTGAGGTGCCATTACATGCTGCCCCTCCTTTTTATGGCCCGTCCCAGCGTGTTATCGACAGCAACACTGAACCAGTTGCCAAGGCAGTTCAGACTCATGGTGGGTGATCCCATGTGTGTCCGGGTGGAGCTATGAGCCATCCCGTTTCCAAGGGCTGATTTTTCCGAAGTTGATTTGGCAGGTGGTTCTTCGAGATGCTCCGTAGAGGCTTTGAGCCCATTGACACTTACATCACTCAAGGTCTCTTTGTGTTTTCCAAACTCAGTGCTATCAGTTCTGACTCATAGAGGCTCTCTAGGGCAGAGCAGAACTGCCTCTGTGGGTTTCTGAGATCGTGAATCTTTGCAAATGTAGAAAGCCTCATCTTTCTCCTGCAAAATGGCTGGTGGATTCGAACTGCCAACCTTGTAGTTAGCAACCTAGCACGTAATCACTGTGCCACCAGAGCTCTTTTTGTTTATGAAAAAAGGAGAATGACCCATGTTGTGTCATGCTTTTCAGTCGGAATTCCACATGGAGTGGGTTGAAGGAGCATGGAGAATGATTACTCACGTTAGGTCTTGGGTGGAAGGGTGGGGAGAGGTGCAGTCTCCATCTTCCTTGTGTGTAATCATATAGACCAGATTTGCAGCCTGGAAATTGATCTCACCAACAAGTCGACAGCCATTTTGCTCAGTATCACTGGAGAAAGTTGTCAATGTATAAATGTCTGGCCCCACCCCGACTTGAACCCTTTGGAACGGGGCCTGGTGAATGTACAGCTAAAGCAATGTATGTGCATCCTCACTTTGAAGATTTGCTATGTAAGATTTAATAGTCTTATTCACGTGGTAGATCAGTGTGTGAACCCCAACAAATTGCTTTCTCTGTGTGCAGAGATGATGCGGTTTTTACAAGTGTTTGCTTAGAAAGAGATACATGGGTAGTCTGAATGGCCAGGTTTGATGTTGCCCACTTAGGGTTTCAAGTGACTTGCAAAAACTATAATTTCAACATCTGAAATCCCTCTTCTTTTATAGCATTTAAATTCTGCTCATGGTGCTGAGATTTTGGGGGTAGTAATCTGAGAAGTACACATTGCCTATTACAGTGTACAAAATGTACTTCACCGAGGTTATGTGAACTTGCTGAGATTAAGTAGAGAGCAACCAGTTGCAATGGATTCAGTTGTTGCTCATGGCGACCACCTGTGTGTCTGCGTGGAATTGTACTCCATAGTGCTGCAATGCTGTTTGGAAGCAGATCGGTAGTGCTTCTTCCAAGGCTCCTCTGGCTGGACTTGACTATGCAGCCTTTTGGTTGGCAGCTAAGAGCTGTAACTGTTTGAACTGATCATGCTGGGACTGGAGACAGTCTTCTGGGTCCGAGTTCTCTAACCTTTCCACTGTTAAAAGCTCACACTAGAATGAAAGCTTAAACGATGATAACTATGAATGAAACAATACCTGTTCACATATAAGCAATGTTGAAGTGAAATTCAATCTGCTAGTCATTATAAAATGGAATTAAGTGATTTTTCTGGAAGTCATCATGTGTGATATTTTAAAACAGTGCATCAAATTTTTATGTTTAATTTTGCTGATGTTAACTTTTGTGGCATTTTCTTTCTGTTGCAGTATTTTAAAATACACAATAAAATACGTTAGTCTCGTGTTTAATGGACATTATCTATAAAATTACATTAAAATAATTTTGAAATTATAAATGAAAAATTTCTTGACTTGAAAAGGTGATTACGAAACAACCAGTGAAATCATTTTAGAGAAAACTTTGAAGCATAAATCATAGATATGTTTATGCTCCTTTGAAGATATATATATAATAATGTCATGGTTTCATTATTTCAGAATGAAAACCAAAGTGAACTGGGAAGAATGGGGGTTCGAAATGCAAAGACACGGGAGATGAAGTTGTGTCACTTTCTAGTTGCAGCCTATGAAACAAGCAGCCACAGACATTCCGTGGCCATTAGTTAACCTATTGCATTAAACCCTCAAATCCCAAACCCATGGCCATCGAGTCGATTCTGATTCATGGTGTTCCTGCAGGACAGAGAGGAACTGCCCTGTAAACCCTACGGGAAGCACGGTGGTGCCCCTGCTTACTGCCAAGTCAGTGGCCGGACCCACCAACCTCTATGGGAGAAAGATGAGGCTTTCTCCTCCCATGAAGATTTAGTCTCAGAAAGGGTGGTCTGGTCAGAAAGGGTGCTATGCATCTGAATCCACTGGCATCTTCATGGACACATATTTCTCCCTTGGAGTGGTGAGAAGGTTTGAGCTCCTGACCTTTTGCTTAGCATCTGAGGGCTTAACTATGGCACCACCAGGGCTGCTTAGCCAGTAGAATTGGGTGGGATTATTTTAAAGTACCCTTTTATAAAAATATATGGCATAATCTGAACTCTCTAATAAAATAGTGGCAGTCATGGGTTTCTCATGTAGCTTGGTAACTGTCTCTGATGACTGTTGGTGAAAGAAAGCTGCTTCCTTTCCCAGAAACTCGGGGAGCGCTGGACAGCAGTGTGCCGTTGGACCGAAGAGCGGTGGAATAGGTTACAAGAAATCAATATATTGTGGCAAGAACTATTGGAAGAACAGGTATTAAGTCACTATCCATAGTCGGCCAAATAGATGGTGAAAAGGCAATCTGTCTTTGATTATGATGTTAGAGTAATGTTTCTTTGGCTACTTTTCTTTGAGAGGAAAGTATACAGGTAATTATCATTTTATAAGTGTCATTTGTCTCTTGTGTAAGTGATTGTGTAGTAAATACTTAGGGGCAGTGTTCCATGGCTTGAACATACATTGCTAATCATTTCCTGCTCTAGGCTGTGGTCAAACTTTCCTTAAGAGTCACCGAATGGACGTAGCTTTGTTTTCTGAAGAGTTTATATTTTACCCGACAAATATGGTATTTATGTTTAATTGTAATGTTGCATTTAATCTAAAGAGTCATGTAATATAGTTAACATTATATCTTTACGAAATGTCAGGAAATGGAGATTATTAGACAAAGCCATCGGTTACTCTTCCACAACATAACATAATATAGCATTTGGAAAGCTTTGGTGATTTAAAAATAAACAACAGAAACCCAAAATATTCCAGGGGCACTTCTATCACCTGAACGGCTTTACATTTACTTTTGGGTTTTACTGTGTGGGAGAAAGAAGTTTGTTAAGACGTGGAATGGAAACAGAGGTAATTTGTTGTTGTATGGATTGAGACCAAATAGCTGTATCTGAATTAAAACACGTTTTAAGCTTTAACATAGTTATAAATGGACTCTGAGAATTGGTCCAACCGTCTGCTAACTTCTAAGTGTGGCTTTCAGGATTTTCTGTCAAAGACTCCAA